CAATCGATTTTAAAGGAAAAATGGTAATTGTTAATTTCATAATATTGCAACTAGAAAACACAAAAGAAAAAATTAAAGTATCTCATTGGGTTTGAAGGATATAAATGAGAAAAAGTTGACTTTGTGACCTAACTAAGGCAATTTATAGGGTGGAAAAAATTTGGTAGTTGTGTTTTGAAAATGAATCAAAAGCAATCAAGAAAACTAAAAAGTAGCACAACTCAGCAGTCAGGCCAGATGGGTCCGGCGTAGGCAAAAAAGTGGTTTGGACTGGACCACGGTCGACTCCCGAATTTTCAATTATGTCCCCAGATTATGTTTTTATATGATTTTTGTCCTTTTTCATTGTAATCTTCAATTGTGATATTGAAAATCCCAAAATATCCATATTAATCCCCAAAACCTCATAATAATTTGAAATTAATCCATCGTATTTTCCAAAAATATGTAATTTAGATCTCTGATTTCCTAACCGTCGAATATAACTCTCGAATTGCATGTATTTCTTCTAAAGGCTCTATTAATTCTTCTAATAGTTCATCTACAGTTGCTTCCAATAAACTCTATTTAAGCTTTAAAAAAATCATTTTTACACTAATTATATTAGAGTTGGAATTTGTTCTACAATTAATATAATTTATAGAAAATTAATTAAGTAGATATATGCATAATAAGCAGGTTTAGAAGTCCACATAGGTGCATAAAATAAAATTTTCAAATAGCGCACACAAAAGCTTGAGAACACGAAAATAGTAACAACCTTCTTACTCATGTTGATTTAATCAAGAATGCCAAAAGCTAGACACCAAATGCATGTTGATTCCGTAAAATATCGACAATTTAGATACATAATTGAGAATACTCCATTTTTTATTTCATATAAAATGAATTTTATTCTATAACGAAATTTTAAATATCATGGTAAAATCCTTGTCTACTATATCAATTAAAAGACTACCATAAGCAAAACTTTAATCAAAGCAAACAATAAAAAATTATAATAAATTAATAAAATCTTAATGTCCATATGTAAACCACGTCAATTATATTCAAATCAAATGACAATGTAAAATAAAATAAAATAAAGTTAATCAATGACTAATGGTTTTCATACAAAATGATGACATTCTTTTGCAGCAGGGGATGGGCCTAGACGTATTGTACTGTAGGATAAATTTAGATACATAATTGAGAATATTCCATTTTTTATTTCATATAAAAAAGAATTTTATTCTAAAACGAAATTTTAAAATATCATTGTAAAATCCTTGTCTACTATATTAATTAAAAGAGTACCATAAGCAAAACTTTAATCAAAGCAAACAATAAAAAATTATCATAAAATAATAAAATCTTAAAATTGAAAAATAATTGATAATTTCCATATGTAAACCACGTCAATTATATTCAAATCAAATGACATTGTAAAATAAAAAAAATAAAAAAAAAACGTTGAGGCAGATGTGTATAGTTAATAAATGACTAATGGTTTTCATACAAAATGATGACATTCTTTTGCAGCGGGGGCAGGCCTCGACGTTTTGTACTATAGGATAAAAAATTAAATCATATTTTTTTTTTTCAAAAATAAGTCAATATACTACTACAACTATAACTTACACGTCTTCAACTGATTGTTCTAAATTTCTAATATTAGACTGTTAGACATATCAATTGTAAAAAATCCCAATATTTGCAGTAAAAATTCAGTCTATGCTATCACAATTCCTCAATTTCAGCCATCGAGTTCAAATATTTTCAATCTTCAACCATCAAAAGAAGTTTTACAATTGCGCATTAATTTTCTTCTAACAACTTCAACCATTTCTTCATCAAATGGTTTTTTATACAAGATATAAAATCAAAGCATCTAAATAGAAATAAGGAAACGCTTTAATCTTCCATTCTACACTGTAACATCAAAACCCTTTAATATTTCACATTTACGGAGACTTAAAAATTATAAAAAAACACTATCAATAATTAGAAATCAGAATGACAGAACTGGAAGGCTATTCTACATCTAACATCTACTTGTCTCGTGTTACTACTACTCTTCAAAAGCCACATAACCAAAGAAAAGCATACCACTTACCAGATGCCAATAGTATATATTAATTTACCTACCACTTCCGTTGTTCGGCTTCGACAATAACCATTAGCAATAACAAGGACGAAGGAAGAGAAGACAGGAAAAGAGAAGAGAACAGAGATGGTCTCAGTCTGGGATAGGGAAGTGGGAAGATTAGAAGTCACTAGTCACATGTAGTTGGGTACATGGAATTAGGTTTGACTTGTAGGCTACCAAATAGTATTCTGGTTAACTAGGCAAGTAAAAATAAATAAATAAATAATAAAATAAAATTTCGAAAATTTTGTGTGGTCATTTTGTTGAGGTTATCTCACATCGATTGTGGAAGGGGCTAGTGGTTTGTTTATAAATGCAAGTGAAGGTCTTACCTCTTGAACTAGCTTTCAGGAATGAAAAGACCCAAGACCACACGACACTCGTATCAGAGCTCTCATCAACAAGTCTCAGACCCAACAATCCATGAGAGATACGAGTTTGTGTTAGGGGGAGATGAGTTTGGTCTCCCCCAGGGCTCGATGTATGAGGGGGAGAATGTTGAGGTTGTCCCACATCGGTTGTGGAAGGGGCTAGTGGTCAGTTTATAAACGTGAGGGGAAGTTCCACCTCTTGAGTTAGATTTTGAGGTTGAGAAGTGGGAAGATTAAAAGTCATTGGTCATATATGTTTAGTTGGGTAAATGGAAATTGGGTTTGAGTTGTAGGCTACTGGATGGTAATTGGGTTAGTTGGGCTAATTGGGCCGGTAAATAGTAAAAAAATCCAAGAAATTTTGTGGGTTCATTTGACCCCATGTGGATCCCCTCCTGTTTTGCAAAGCATTAGTGACAAAGGTATAAATGACATGTTTTGCTCCAAATTAAACCATGTTTATATCATCAACGACATCATATGAGAGAGGAAACAATGAACCACAAGGCATGGATATAAAGTTTTGCCATAAGGGGAAACAATGAACCGTGAAGTGGATCATTTAACCAAATGGCACATGTGAATTGGACTAGAGAGTTTGTGAGGATTGTGCTAGTGTAGGAGAATTGTGGACCATAGATTAAATTCAATTCAACGATTAGATTTAGTTTTGTGATCAATTCTCTATGCTAGACTTGTCCCTATATCATAGCATAAAGTTTGAATTTCAAATTCAAATGTCTTGATCTTTTAATTGTAAGTTTTGCCACTTGGTTTCATTTAGAGTCGGCAAACAAGAGAGAATAAAGAGTAACTAAGGGGTGAGACTTTTTCTCCATCAAGAATCCTTGACTACCTCCTACAAATTTTTTTTTTTTTTATTATCCATTGCCATTCCCTTGGAAGATGATGATGCTTTGATCCCCTATGACTAAAATCTGAGCTCAACATCATAGAACATATGGGTAGTAAAGTTGAAGAATTGAGTTGATTTTGTTTATTTTGAGAGTTTGTTTTCGTACTGTAGTTGTAACCATCATTGTTACACAACATTACAACTCTATAGAACCATATTTTCACGAAATAGAAATAAGTCTTAAGTTTTGCATCTCATGTCGTCATACCAAAAGGTTGGGATAGAAAGTAGAAACAAACGTTTGCTACTCTTAAAATGAACAAATGAAAGTTCGTCTCATAGTGGAAAAGTTTTAGTTGCAGACAAATGTAGTCCTTGATAGGTAGGAAGTATTGTGTAAATTTCTTCAATTTGCACAACTATGCTAATTGTGGTCCATAGCAAACGTCTGGAATGTACAAAAATTGTGTCTTTTTCTTTCAACAGTAAATCAACCCTTTATTTGATTCTAAAAAATCAAGAATTTAAATATCTTAATATTAGTGCATTAACTATGGATTACTTAAGCATTTTTGTTAATAGTGCTAACGAAGAAAAAGATAAAACTATAAATGCACATTATGTTTAGTTATAAATTTGCACGGTTATAAACTAGGAAAAAAAGTTGTTGTAAATGCTCGTCCCTAATTGGTAGCGGCAGCTACGACAATAGTTAGTTGCTCCTTGTCCTGAGAATGGATACTTAAATGGCAAACTAAACTAGTTTCCACTAAATGACGAAGCCAGGAGTGAAAGGAGAGACTATTCTTTCCTTTCGGTATGTTTTCTAGTTGTGCTTTTAGATGATTAAAGGGTTTATTTTCTCGATTTCCTTTTTCGCTGATTACTTTGTTCAAGGAAGATGCAATAACAATTTTTTTTCTTGAAACATTGTATTAATGGTTGTACAAGGCAAGGTATACTTTTTTTATGTTTATTTTTTACCCATTTGGTATTCATTTTTATGATGCAATCCAGCCATTCTGAGAAGCTTCCTTGGAGAGTAGCATATAGCCACCTATACTACATCGTGAGAAACAGTCGATAACTGATGAACCTTCCCAAAAGCAGTTGTTATCTTCTCAATTAACCCCTCAACATTGAGCAAAAAATGTTTTAGGCACTGTATTTTCAGTTTTTGCTAATGGCATTTGGTGAGGGGAGGATGCTTTATTTATTTTTTATTTTTTTAACATCGTGATTGCATTTGGGACTGATTAAAGATCTAACAGGGAAAAAACTAGCGGATTAAAATTTAATAATTCATTGTTTTTACCCCTAGAATGAAACTGACTTGCTTTTGTCAAAGTCTCCGACGTATTAAACATTTTAGTAATCCTAGGTCAAAGTCTCCTCATTTTAGTTTGCACCATTTTCCTCTGGTGGTCCCTTAGCTTGAGACATTACTGATAGGAAATGTATGGTAGAATTCATTTCGCCATTAATTAGTCAAGAATTGATTGATGAATCTTAATTTCTTACCCAAAAATAAAAAATGAAGAAGAAAAAATATACGCCTTATTTGTTATCTAGAAATTTCAAAATAACTTAGGGAAGATATTTTTATAAGAAGTTTCCTGTTAGTCTGCAGTCAGTCAACTGTACACCAAGTTTCTCCTTTAAAAAGGGATGCTACGTACCAAAGCTAAAAATCCACCAAGCAACATATATTAGAAATTTTACAGCATTGCTAATAACTCAGATAGGCCAGAATTAGTGTGTTCATAATTAAGAAAGATGGGAATAAAGTTATGGGTAATGTTAGTGATGATGGTGCTTTCACTACTAAATGGACGGTATTGTTTAGGGTGTTGGGAGGAAGAGAAGGTTGCTCTTTTGCAGCTCAAAGAAAATATAAACTTTCCAGGTGGAGAATCGCTACCTTCATGGGTGGTTAATGAGATTGAAACTGACTGTTGTCAATGGCAAGGGGTTAAATGTAGCAACACAACTAAACGAGTAATCCAAATTATTCTTGATGACGCTAGGGATTGGAAATTTGAAGATTGGTATTTTAATGCCTCTCTATTTCTTCCCTTTCAAGAGCTCAGAAATCTCTCTTTGGAGATGAATCAGTTGGTTGGTTGGATTGAGAATGAAGGTATGATTCCATCTCTCTTTAATTAGGTAGATTCAATTTTATCATTCCCCTTTTGCTTGAGTGGTAATTATAGATATGTTGAACTTTCTTGTAGGTTTTGATAGATTGTCGACGTTGAGAAATTTGGAGGCCCTTAATTTGGGTGAGAATTCATTTGATCGCAAAATTTTGTCAGCTCTTAGTCAGCTTTCTTCACTCAAGCATTTGGGACTTCATGGTTGCTTTTCAGAGATAAAAAATTACGGCAATAGTAAGTTCAATATACTTCATATTCTGGTGGTTATTTCGTAGATCATGTAATTATTGAAGAATCAACCCTTAGAAAATAAATCAAGTTATTATAATTAAACTTTTTTTTTTTCTGTTTGTGGTATAAGATAAGCAATTTTCCTAAACCTTTAATTTTCTCTATTAGAAGTGCAGATCAAACAACCAACTTAACCTTATTACTGTATTATGAGAAAAGGCAAAGGGAGTAAATAATTTTAAAATATAGTAACACTAAAATTTTTTGTGAAAAAGCATATAAGTGCAAGAATTATTGGAGTGAAGAGAAGATAACAGAGTTCCAACTTTCACTAATTCTATGAATGCAAAAATAGAGTCCATGGAAAAAAAAAAAAAATACAAAAGCCAGAAGCTTAACTTGAGATTTTATCATTAATTTAAGTTGTTTGTAAAAAAGAAAATCTTGGTTTCATTTTAGATAAATCTACTTACCGTAGTGGAACTTGAAAATTATGCAAATTACTCTCCTATTACATAAAAACATTTGTCATTTGCCCCTTCCTAATAAGTTTAGCATTACTAAATGTATATGTTAATAGTATTGAGATAGATATTAATAGTGCTAATCAACCCAAGTAATTCAAATGGAAAAAATTAAGGGCATGCTTGGTACTTGAAAGTACAACAAATAAGACATTTTCAACTTTAATATTGGAATACACCTTACCACAAAAGCAATAATTTTATTTTTATGATTCCCGTCCATTATGATTGCATTTCAATGTTTAATAGCTTGATAAAACAGAAGCCATAATATTATCCAGTGTTTCATTATGGAATACATCATTTTTTTTTTTTTTAGTCTTTTTGTCTTTGGGCATCATTTCAATGTTGAATAGCTTTGACGAAACATATAATTATTTTTTACTAAAAATCATTGTGTAGGTCGTGAAAGACTCTTTGGATTAACCAAGCTGGAAGTTCTCGATTTTACATATAATCCTGGGATTATCGAAGATGATATTCTATCAGTCCTAAGTGAGTTTTCTTTCGGCAAGCGTGATATATTGTTTTTAGGTCATAGGACCTTTTAATATCTTTACTCGTGTTTTTCGACAGATCTGAATGATTTTATCAATTTAAAGGAGCTCGACCTAAGTATGAATGAATTTAGAAGCTTGGGTACCACTTATGGTATATCATCTCATTTTGTTCTTTATCCTCATTCAATTTTAGTTTCCTTTTCTGTCATTACTTCACTTGTGCCTTATTCATGGTATTTTGCTCCCAGGCCCTCCCTTTCACTAAATCGCAGTTTGTTGTTTATTAGATATTATATTGTAACTTATTGTGGATTTGGTTATACAAACAGGTCTAAAATATTTGAGGGTCCTCAATTTACAATCAAATCACTTCAATAATAGCATTTTCTCCTCACTTCATAGGCTGTCATCACTCCAGTCTCTAGATCTCTCTTTCAATGAAATAAAAGGAACCGTCCAAATTAGAGGTTAGGTCTATAGTTCAGAGCTCCTTATTTTTCTTATTTGTAGTCAAATGAAACTGAGTTCTCAATCATTATTTTAATATTTTGCTTGCACGTGTTTATTTCTCTACCTCCATCCAGATTTACGCGCTTTGAGTAATTTGGAGGAGCTTGATCTAAGTGGTAATAAGGTCGACAACTTCACAACTCTAACAGGTACTCAACTAGGTTTTTCAAGTTTATATTTTTCCGAATAACGAACATCAATACGCTCATACTTGAATATTACCCTAGAGAGTACTACGTTTCAGGCATCAAAAGTATGCATAGTCTCCAAGTGCTAAAATTAGATTCCTTATATGTCTCCAACATTAGCAACATGGTGCAATCTTTGAGGGCATTCGCTTACCTCAAGCACTTCTATTTTCGGTACAATTATGTGAACGGAAGCATTGGATCTTATGGTAAGCCAAAGGAGCTATAATTCCTAGTCACATAAATTATAATACTAATTACAATATGAACTCCAATTCTCATGCACATTCCATTGCTTACATGTATAAGACTTGAGTCATTTAAGACGGCTTGAGGGATTGTTCTTGGATAATTCTATTGTGGATTGGAACTTTCTACAAAGTATTGGAGCACTAACTTCTCTCAAGATTTTATCTCTGTCCAATTGCGGACTCAATGGTACCCTTCTTGTTCAAGGTAAACGTCAACGGCTTGTTTGGTGAACAATGTTTTTCATAACTTGGCATGCTGCTCTTCAATTATTTCTATTTTCACAATTTTAAAATTTTCCTTGCATCTCAATCGAACTTTTGGTTAATGAATGCAAGGTCATCTCACAATTCTCTTTTTGATTGATTACCTCACTATTAAATATAGAAAATAATTTGTGAAAAATAAAAATGAACCAGAACATTTGTTTTGTATCAAAAGAAGTATTTAACTTTGTCAATTAGGACTTCATAATTAATATAATTTAAAGAGGTTCGGCTAACCTTATATAGTTAAAAGTAATAAAATTTTTACAATCTATAGCTTTTTTATAGGTGAGAGTGGAAATAAGTTAATAGTTGCATTCAAAATAATTAACTTATTTCTGTCTCACCAATAAAAAAATTTAATTTTAAAAAGGGAAACTTTCTCACTTGAAAGTAAGTCCAGAGTTGAAAAAAATTGCTTTCTTTTATAAGCAGAGCCTTTATATTCCCTATTTCATTGGTGGGTTTTGAAGTAGTATTTGTATTCGTTTGATTTGCAGGATTGTGTGAACTTAAAAAACTCCAAGAGTTAGATCTTCGTTGGAATGAGTATGAAGGAATACTTCCTTCATGTGTTGCAAACATGACATCTCTTAGAGTAGTTGAACTCTCACACAATACATTCACCGGAAATATTGCCTCCCCTCCACTTTCGAAACTCACATCACTTGAATATCTCTCCATTTCAAGTAACAACTTTCAAGTTCCAATTTCATTCAAGGCATTCTTTAATCATTCAAACTTTAAGTTTTTATTTTTGGACAATAATGAAATAATAGATGACAATGAGTTGGGAAATTGGGTTCCCAATTTTCAACTAGAGGCTTCTAGTATGTCGAATTCAAGAGGTCCTCCATCGTTACCCCACTTCCTTTACTATCAATCCAATTTGAGATTTCTTGATCTCTCAAATAACAGCATAGGACCGAATTTTCCAACTTGGTTGCTGGAGAACAACACAAGACTTTGGGGACTAAACCTGAGGGATAATGTTTTTATAGGACCTCTCAAGTTGCCAACAAGCACCAATCCCAACATGGAGAGTTTTGATGTATCTAATAACAAGTTCAATGGACATGTTCCAACTAATATAACTTCAATTTTTCCAAACTTGGTTGCGTTAAACATATCAACAAATATGTTTGACGGTTGTGTACCTAGTTTCAGTGACTTGAAATCTATAGAATATATAGACTTGTCCAGCAATAATTTATCAGGCACAATACCACAGGAAGTAGTGATGGGATGCTTTTCTTTGTATTTTCTCAAATTTTCGGATAATAAATTGCAAGGACAAATATTTCCAGAATCTATCAACCTACAATACTTGAGATATTTATATCTGGACAGTAATGAGTTCTCAGGCACCATTCCGAAGAGCTTGTCTACCATGGATCTTTCAACGTTAGACATTAGTAACAATTGTTTGTCGGGCAGAATTCCTACATCAGTGGGTAATATGACAGCATTGAGGGAAATTTCTCTTTCTAACAACCAACTCGAGGGTCCAATTCCGGAGGAAATTTGCAATCTCGATCTTTACCTCTTAGATTTATCTGAGAACAAGTTATGTGGTTCAGTCCCATCTTGCTTCAATCCATCACGGATGGATCATGTCTATCTGAATAATAATCAATTGGAGGGTGAGCTCCCATATGCATTTCATAATTGCTCTTATTTGGAGTTATTGGACCTTAGACATAATAAGTTCATTGGAGGTATCCCTCATTGGATTGGCAATCTATCAATGTTGAGTATTATTCTTCTCGGAGGTAACCACTTTGAAGGCACAATCCCTTACCAATTTTGTGAGATGGACCAACTAAGCATGATAGACCTTTCCTTTAATTTTCTTTCGGGTCAAATCCCGCCTTGCTTCGGTAACATCACCATGAAGAATTCTGGAGTGTTTGAAAGATCAATCTATATGTACAATGGAAAAATTGTGTCTTTCTTATATAAGGTTATGTTAGAAAGGCCCTCTCACATAACTTTCGGAAGAAGTCAGTATTTCTCCGAAATTTTTGGCAAGCTTGGTTTCACGCCAATTAGAGCGACATTCATGACAAAGAGAAATTATTATACTTACAAAGGTCGCATCCTCAATTACATGTCAGGAATTGATCTCTCTTCTAATAAATTACATGGTGAAATTCCGGATGGCCTTGGAAATTTAAGTGAGATCCACTCACTCAACTTGTCGCACAACTATCTTATTGGAACAATTCCAGAAACATTCTCAAACCTACGTCAGATTGAGAGCTTAGATCTCTCCTATAACAACTTAGGTGGGAGGATCCCTACCGGTTTGATCAAGTTAAACAATTTGGCAGTCTTCAGTGTGGCGCACAACAATTTAACAGGTACGATACCAGAGAAATTTCAGTTTGGGACTTTTGATGAAGGTAGTTATCAGGGAAATCCTTATCTTTGTGGCCATCCATTACGTGTCAACTGTACTAGCACCGGACCAACACCTGTCTTGCCATTTGCTGATGATGAAAGTGAGGAGCGCGGTTTTATGGACATGGAGTTCTTCTATATAAGCTTCATCTTATCTTATTTATGTGTAGTGATTTGCATTGCTACAGTTCTATCCATAAATTCTCACTGGAGAAAAGCATGGTTTCATTTCATCGAGGTTTATATAATCCATTTTTGAGGCCGTGTGTTCTAGACAGGATTCCCATTTTCCAAATCAAGGTATCTGCTTTAATTCTGTATGAAGATCATCATATACTATACTAACTTTTATAACTAGTATAGATTTACAATCTATCTAATCAATTATGTCATTTTTCCTTCTAGATTTGATAATTCGAAAGTAACGAAGCAGTGAAGGCAATTATAACAGCATGGTAGGAAGCAAAGATGGCCATGTGTGTATGCAAAGTGGCCATGTGTGTATATTCAATCATAGAAGTATGAAATAATTTTGAATTCCGTACTTGTATTAATACATGGAAAGGTGATTTGTTTCCCAGCTAAATATTTTTGTTTGAGCAAAAAAGATAAAAAAATAAAATAAAAAATAAGGAGCAACATGGCATTTGATTTCTAAAAGATTTATATTTGAGCTTCTTCATTTATTCTTTTTCCCTAGTCCATACATAGAATTTGCGCATTAACTTTGAGTCACATTTTGTCGAAGAGAGAGTTCGCAACCTATTATTCAGAATTCAGTTTTTTGTTCTTGTTATCAAAAGTGATTGTACCTTGGAAGGATCATTTTTGGACTTTTCATCTATGGATGCAAACTTTGCCTGGGCGTGGACTCAACGGCACCCTTTCCAATTAGGTAAATTTCTCACCTTCCAATGAGTTTAACTTTGACATATATAAGTTTCTCGCTTTGTTTGTGTATGTTTTTCTTCAATTATTTTTGTTACCTGATTTGAATTTCACTATTTCTATTCTATTCAATTGAACTTTTTCTTATTTTTTTTACAAAGAAATTAAAAAAAAAAAGGTGTGATTAATGCTAAGTGGTCGTTCTTTTCATATATATATATATTTTCATACTAGAAGCATGCATATATATATTTAAAATTGAAATTATTAAAGGGAAAAATAATTCTTTAGCTGACACATTAACTAGATAATTTGCAATTACAGGTAAAAATGACAAACATTGAAGATCAGATTGATGATCTGGAAATGTAAATTGAGATGGAAGAAATTGAAATCTCAACGAAGTAGCAAAAGGTAAAAGTTCTACCTAAACCTGAACAAGGAACTAATTTCCAAGAATCAACAAGTTATAATCCGAAAGGAGATGGAAAAAGGATTGAAGGGGATAACATTCCTAGACCTAATCCTAAAAATGAATATTCAGATCAGAATCTTTTACAATCTGAAGATATACCAAAAAAAAGTAACCTGCAAGTTACAATTCTAGACTTAGGTTGTACTCTAGAACCTGACAAACTTATTGATGCATGGTATAGCCATATTATGGTAGCCATGATAACCAATAAGGAAATTATTAAAAGTGAAGCTAATTCATGGAATTATGTTTTAGACTTCTCCATTCATGCATTGTCTTTTCATTGACACATTCACGTTGTCCTTCAATTGGTTTATTTAGAATAACCTCTGGGATGGTTTTGATCTGAATATGGTGATATCCCTTAATCAGGAGTCCTTCTTTATTCCAGAATGGAATTGTACTGCATATATAGATATACCAAAAGAGGTAGTTATGACTAGATTTATTAAGAAAACCATAAGAAAATAATTGTTCACGTTACCAGCAAATTTAAAATAATATGGAAGGACAAACAAAAATGAATCCGAGCGTCAATTTGTATTGGAAGGAAAGCTAACTTCATTAATAAAAATTTTATAATCAATCCCAATTTTCCTTATCTTTGTTTGGTTCGTTAATAATTAATTTAACAGGGTGTTGTCAACTTAATAAATTGGAGGAGCTCGATTGGAGTAGAAATATCTATGTAGAATTACTTCCATCATGTCTAGAGAACATGACATCTCTTCCGAATGATCAAGGCCTCAAGGAATAAGTTCTGTGGAGATATTGATGTGTCTTTGCTGTCGAAACTTACACCAGTCAAACAATTCCATTTCAAATAAAATTCACATGCCCATTTTCTTTGAGGCTTTATTTACTCCCTCAAGTCTTTGTTTCATATTTGCCAAAGAAAATGAAGTAATAGCAAGTATTGTGTTATGAAAATGGGTCCCTAACTTCCAACAAGAAGTTTTCAGTTGGTTAAATTGCCATCTAACTCTACCTCATTTTTTGGGAATTCTTGATCTCTCACGTCACAACTTGGGGAGAAATTAGCCAATTCGTTAAAGAACAACACTAGACTCAAAGGAGCCTACTTTAGAGATAATGCTTTTAGGGGAACTCTCAAGTTGCCAGCAAGTACCAATCTCAATATGGAGACTTTTGATATTTCTAATAATAAATTTATTGGACATATTCCAACTAATATAAGTGTAATAATTCCAAATTTAATTCCAATAAACATGTCCAAAATATGCTTAATCGTTGTGTAAATGTTATGTCAAAGGTCCAATCGATTTCATACATAAACACTTTCAATACGATTAAATTAAATTAATTACTTTCATACATAAACACTTTCAATATTTTCCATATATTTATGGAAAATATATCATTTAATTGAATTATTATTCTGATAAATTAAATTAATAAAGTTCATAGATTTAAATTTTGATAACGTGTTAATCAGAATGAGTTGTGACCGTGAAAACAAATTACATATGACTGAATTTAAAATTATACATAGTAGTAAATAATAACAAGAAACGAATATCGATACTATGGATAAACCAACACGTTTGGCATTTCTCACTTATGCTGTGAGTAGCTAATATTTAAATGGATATGTGGATATTTTATTAAGAGATTTCACGTGGATAACCATTCGAGAATCGGTGGTTAATCTCCAATGTTCAATAGTGTAATAGGTCCTTAGACTTGATGTCATTATAGTGACTTATATGAAGACAGTCATATTTTGGTGGTGTCGGTCATCCTGAATCACCCTAATGTATCCAAAATGTGACCTGCATCGATGATAGATGCTGACTAAATATCAGATCTACCACCAAGGCTGACTATGAGTCACTAATAATTATTATCCAAAATAAGATAATTATCAATAAGAAATAATGCAATGGCCCAAAATAATTATTTCATGCTTTATTAAAATGACTCATATCACTCAACCCCTGTTTAGCCTCCATTAAAACTCATCAATTTAATTTAAATTTTTTTCTCTCTTATTTTCAACCACATAATGTTCAATAAAATAATTACATGCAAATCGAAAATTTTTCATTCTTTTGCAACCATTCATTTTTCAGAGGAATACCATTCCCCCATTATAAATCCAAATAATGGGGCCAAACAAAGGCTCAATATGCCATCTAGCTTTAACTCCGAAATCATCGGGCTCCTTAAGCCATCAAGAACCAATTGCTACTTATAAGAAAAATCATGGGAAAATATATAAGCTAATAGCTTAGCGAGTGAAATTTTTGAAATATTTATACTTTCTCATTTGTACATATTTATCGAAACTCGAGTTCATGTCATTTAATAATTCATAGAATAACTTCATATAGTTATAGCCAAAAAATGAGATATTCTCATAATTTTGCAAAATATCATCTCATCCCATCACATGTAATCCACCAAAAAATGTACTATTTGACTGAAATTTGTAATCCGCTCCTCGGGCCAAGCGCTTTCGCCATGAGCCTTTGGCCTCTTTCCTGAATGAAAAAGCGGATTTCAAAGATCAATTCTAGAACACAATCAAGGCCCTTCTATAAACTGTATGTAAACAGTCAAGACCTGTGTAAGATAGAATATGGCCAAGGCTCCTCTGTGAACTAAAAAAAGTATATAATCATGGGTACTCTTCTAGTCGATCTTGATATCACATGTATCACCTTCCAGTTCACAATTAATCCATATACAATCTTTGAATTCCATATATATCACAGTGGAAGAACATTTCCGTATCAATAATGTAACTAAACAAATAATTCACATAATCACACGTAATATAATAGTATAAGTACTTCATAAATATTTGAAAATATATAAGTTTTTCCACTCAACAATTTGTAGATCGATCGTGACTTCAAAATTCTCATCACCTCCTCACGTTCAAATACCAAAGCACTCGTCCCAAGATATCATACCTCCTCACTAAAGTGCTTTGAGCATTTTTCCTACCATTAGAAATAGAAATAATAATTTACTAATAAGAACTTGGAGTCTTATTATCAGTGTAATGTCATAATACCAATTAGAGTCACTAATAACATATCCACCTTTATATAAGTTATTTCAACAGCTAATTCCCAGTATTTAACGCTTAATTTGGTTCTCATACTAAAAATCCAAGAAAATCAAAATATTATCAAAACCAGCACTGTATTTCAAGACTATTGAAATGTGGCACCAAATTCTGTATATTGGAAAGTATCACCGAAACCATTAATAGAAATAGCACTTTCTGGAAATCAAAATATTATGAAAACCAGCACTTCTTTTTTCTCTCTTTCTTTCCTTTTCTTCTCCCGTTTTTCCCTTTCTTGATTTCTTTCTCCTTCTAGTTTCTTCCTTTGTAAAATGAACCCCTTTCCTTTTATTTTAAAAGATTAATACAATGTAAATGAAAATCAAATCCTTAGTCTTCTTACAATATAACTTTTAGCCCTTAGTAATAGAGAACTAAGTCCATTAATTCCTATTTTATTTTATCTCTAGCCCTTTTCATGTATTAGTAATTAAAAATTAAGTCCCATGAAATTATTTGTTCAACTTAAATCCTTATTTTGACCGACTTTGACCCATTGAATTTTTTCCTCGACTTTGATTAAATAATTTGTTGACTTTGACCATAATGAGTGGGGTGTAACATTGGATGTTGCTTTACCAGGAGTCACCAATATGACATCGTTTAGGTATGTTAAAAATCATATAAATGTTGTGAATGATCAATAGAGAATTCGATACTCTTAGATAGTAAGAGATTATATTTATGTTCCATTCAGTTAAGTTGATATCGAAATAATTGTCCAAGGTAAGTATGTAAGTTGAAAAGAGTTTCGATTATCATTGTTTTAAGAGTTGAATAAAAGATATGATCTATAGTCGACATTCGCAAACTTTCATATCTCACAATTGATCGAATCACATAGGCAAAGGGATTATAATCTAATGGTAAACCGACAAATTTGATTTTTTTTGTACCATGTGATATTTTCATCACGTGTAATGCCCTTACATATTGTGGAACAATGACTATGAATTAATTAAGCTAGAAAAATTAATGATAAATTAAAAAGAAGTTTATTTTTTCTTATTTTAATTATATCAAAATAATAATTCATGTCATTCGATATCATGATCAGAACTCCTTAGAATTCCACATAAAAGGGAGAACTAGTAGAATGATATTATAAATTAAATAATTGAAAAGTGTTGGACATTTATAAAATTAATTATTTGGATTGTTTATTAATGGATATGGACTTCAGTTAATTGATTAGATTAATTAACTCATAGAACAAGTTTAACTAAATAGATTAATTAAATATGTGGAAATTACGCCACCCACCTTATTTGTAGTAAATATTTAAAAAATACTATGTTATCTTTTATTTCAATAAATGATGTATTTTGTTAATAAAATGAACACATTGAAGATTTCTAAATTAAAAGAATATTAAATTAGGTAAAATATTTTACTCATTTAAACACGCCTTTACATCTAATACATTTTGATTTCTATAAACATGCTCGTGTCAAATGGTGTGATTAGCCCAAATGTGTTCATTCCGTTTATTACAACTACGTTTGCGTGATCTCTGCTTGCGATACAATAACAGGGATGACTGTATTATACATATTAGCTGAAAATTATTCGAAATCAAATATCATATAATCGTATCAGGCTAAATGGATGTATAATGTCTACTACATATCTGAAACATGCACATGGTGTTGGTCAATATGCAGGAGAATTTCCATGGTAAATTTGCAACATATCAGAAATTAAAACATATGTCAATACATTCTAGTATCAGGGATTTCGAACCATGTATTCGAATTTTATAGATTTCACGAGTTGTGTATACCCAGACATGAAAAAATATCGCAAGAACAATGTATGACACTCAAACTCTAAAATCTTTCACCAAACTTGCACAATGTTTAGAATAATTTCTAGGCAATCATTTTTTTTTTCTCTCTTCTATCAATTCAACGAAAGTTTGTGTATATAAACAAATCCCTAAAAAAAATTCCAAATGTACAAATGGCATATAAACTAGGTGAAAAACATATCCCAAATTTGAGATATTTTCGTAAATATACTGATTCAGAGTGTGAAATATCTCCCTGGAGATAGAGATTTTCGGTTGTAGATACGGCAATTTCTATGATCCTGTCGAGTGTAGCAATCACGGTGTGGTCAAACAACGAAAGCCTTTCTTCTTCTTCAATCAAATCAGATTTTT